CACTGGGACAGATGGCCTCACAGCCTGCTTGAGGGACGCTCCCTGTTCTGGCCTTCAGGGAGCACATGTCTCTTCTCTTAGGGGAGAAGAAGCTGACAGTTCTTTTTTTTCAATAGAGTAAAAGGAGTTGATGGAATAGTGGGGAAGACACTGGTGATGTTCCATTGATTACTGGTATAGCTATTCTAAGTTTTAAACACAGAAGGCTATGTAACCTTATATATAAACTCAAAAGTGTCTCCACTGTAGGCCTCTGTATCTCCACCAGCTGCAAGAGCAGGGTGCTGCAGACCCTCATGCCCAGAACAAGACTCTCCCTTCCCATGTCTCCACAGGCCCTTGACAGGTGTGAACTCTGCATCAAGTCAGACCCCTAGCTCTCCTGATCCCCTAGCTTTCACAGCCTTGTTGCCACCTGAGACCCTTGGCTCCAGCCTCATTTATATCAAGCACCACAAGCAGCCCTGAATTCCCTAGGACATCCCCCAAGTCCCACAGCAGAATTTCTATATTTATTGTTATTCCATTTCTTGCCCATTTGGGGGAAAATCCTAGGGCTCAGGCTTTGTAAATCTTTGTCTCACCCATATCCTTAACAATTTTATCTAATTTTAAGGACAGAAGTATTACTGCTATGCTGATTTCTCCTGCCTGCCTTCAGCATGATTCTCCCTTCTGTTTTGTAAACTGAAATCTCTCACTGTGCACTTGACATTTCCACTTGCATAGGCATCTCAAATTTAGCAAGTCAAACTCTGACCTCCTGCTCTTTCCTCAACCTGATCAACATGCAGATTTCACTGTATTAACTAATGGCAGTTCCATGCTTTACATTTACCAGGTCCAAAACTTTGGAGTTAATTTTAGATCGTCTTTGATAGCCAATATCTATTCCATCAAGAAGTTATTCTGGCTCTAACTTCCTAATACCACCACTTGTCTGTCAATTTGTTGTACTGTGGTAGCTTGTGTGTTGCTGTGATGCTGGAAGTTATGACGGTATTTCAAATACTAGCAGGGTCACCCAAAGTGAACTGGTTTCAGCAGAGCTTCCAGATTAATGACAGATGCTAGGGAAGAAATAGGCTGCCCAATTCTGAGGAATTAAACACCGAAAACCTTATGGATAGCATCAAAGCATAGTGGACACTGCAAACCGCATGGTGGGAGCAGAACATTGTCAGAGAGTGTGTCAGAAAGCACTCCGAATATGAGGAGAAGATGTCATGATGAGAAGAAGGAACGCCTGTCTCTGGGACCTTCCTTTTGACACCTCCGCCTCTTTTGTCATGCGTTCCCACCACATGATCACCCTGAATGCCCCTTACCCTGCTAGGCATGCCACCACATGCTGCTTTTGCTTCCCACTTACAGAAAAAGTGCAGGAAAAGATATCCCATTTGAGACTGTACCTGCTTGTAGTCCCAGTCCTTCTTCCAAGCTCTCTTTTCTGGGTAGGGTTTAATAGCTCACGTTTTATGTAGTTCATTAATTTATTTGTTTACTGACTCCTCTCCTTACTCGCATAAAAATATAAGCTCTGTGAGACAGGAATCTGTTTTATTCACTAATGAATGAACCAAGCACCATTTGCTAAATGAATGAACGAGAGCTCATAGCCCTGTAGAGCTGGAAGGTCGGTTCGAGCCTTACCATACGAGTTCACTCCAGATTACCTAGCGGATGCCTATTTATCTCTTCCCCATAAATCTCGGGAAAGTGCTTTCTTTCGCTTGTTCCACCAGTCTTCTTCTCAGTGTTCACGTCACAGTTCTCTTTCTCTGTCTTTGCTCGTGTGTGCGGCGCCCTTTAGTCATAATGTTCTTTTTGTTACCTGATCTCAAAGTCAACGCAAACATCGTAGACTGAAGGAACCTTCCCAGACTTCTTCCTCCCTAGGCAGGATACATCTTCATACACTCCATTTCTCCAGCTGCACTTAACTGAGCAGCCACAGAAGGTGAGCAGACATCACTTCCCTCTTCCTTGAGAGAAGTGAGTATATATTTCATTCTTCACTATATTCCTGGTGCAGTGGTTCATTTTCATAGATTCTCTGCACCTCTGCAGTAGCTCTTCCTGCCTAAAGCTGGATAGACATGTACAGAATTAAGTCCCTTAAATTTACTTCATTAGATAACGACTCTATGGAGCCCCGATGCCATAGTGGGTTGGAACCATGCTTTGGTAAATAATGGAAAGTGTGTGTGGAATAGATTTGGAGCAGATAGAGACTGAGTGTAAGAAAAACAGGTAGAAGAGTATTGTGTCTAAAGAAGAGGTGAGCGGGTTTTGAACTCTGATGATAGGTAGAGGCAGATGCAAGAGGTGTTAAGAGAATTTGAGCTGATAGAGCAGAGGAAGAGCATAGCTAAAGTGGAGCGACAAGTATTTATAGCATCGTATGCTAAGTATAAGTTTATTTTGTGGCCACTGAAGGAGCTCTGGTGATAAAGTTACATATTGGGCTACTAACCTTAATATCTGCAGTTGGAACCCACCAGCTTCCCCAGAGGAGAACGAGGAGACTGGCTGTTCCTGTAAAGAATCAGAGACTGAGAAACCCAAAGGGGCAGTTTTATTCTGTCCTTTAGGGTCCTAATGAATTGGAATCGTCTTGATGGCAGTAGACCGGCTTGTTTTTTGATTTATGTCACTTAAATGTTTGGGAAAGCCTCCTGTTGTTGTAAATGCTGATTATTTTTTACAGAGAGGAAATTCCATTCATTTATCACATAAGTAATTTGTAGTTTGTCTCATTGGGCTTGGATTGATATCCAGGGCAATGATTTCCTTAGAGATAGAGACCAGTTAATTTATTCTGAATGTCTGAATTGAAAACCTTTCTTAATCTCCTTAGAGTAGACAAAATTGGAAACCACTTTAGCCTAATGATTTGGAAGAATGATGGATATAATGTTCTGTAAAATTGCAACATGTGATGTGATCATCTCAGTGCCTTTCATGTGATTCAAATATAAATTGCAAATGAGAACCTAAATCAGTCTCAGTTGATTTGCTAAGCAGGAATCTTTAGCTGACTCATCCTGCTTGCAGAAGACTTGCTTAAAAGTAACTTTTCAAATCCCCAATAGAAGTGGTTTGGATTAGTGAGGTTGGCACAGCTCAGTTAGAGAAATATCTAATGAGCGTGCACGTGTCTTTGTGATATTGTACTCTGTTAAAAAGTAAAGGTTCTCTAGTTTTCAACCAAGGAGGAAGAAGAAAATAAAATAGTAGTTTTAGATTAGATTGTCAAAGGATTCAAGCCATTTGAAAGGATTGGAACAGAAAGTTGTATAAATGGAGTGACATAAAGAGAAAACGGGGACTTCTGACCCAAGATGGTAGTGCCCAGAGGGCGCTCCTCCTTCTGCTATGAGTTGAACTGAGGACAGCCACCCTGCACCATGTGGAAGCAAGCCAGTCTACGTGTGATCCCACCATTGTGCGGGCAGGCCAGGCCATAGCTGGGCCCTCGCTAGGCCCCATCCTGGGTTATTGAGGCGTTTTCATCAACCAGTTCTGCAAGGAGTTCAATGAGAAGAAGAAAGACATCAAAGAAGGCATTCCTCTGTCGACAGATATTTTTGTGAAGCCTGACAGGACATTTGAATTCAAGGTTGGCCAGCCCACTCTTTCCTACTTTCTGAAGGCAGCTGCTGGGAATGAGAAGGGGACCCGGAATAAAGGCAAAGAGGTGGTGGGCTTGGTGACCTTGAAGCACATATATGAATGAGATCACCTGAGTCAAAGCTCGGGATTATGCCTTCCCTCTACAGTATGTACCCCTGCCCTCCATTTGCATTCCGTCATTGGTCTGATCGTTCTCTGGGCATCTGAGTGGTGAAAGACCTCGGTTCAGAGGAGCCAGCTGTGCTCCTGGCTGCTCAGAAAGAGGCAGACTTGCAGCCCAGGCAGAAGCTGCCAAGAAGTGACCCCTGCCCTTCAAGGCCCCGAATTTGGCAATGAGCCACTGGGCAGGGGGCTGAAGGAAAGGCTGTGACAAAGGGTCAGGAGGGAGGGTGGTCTCACCCTCATTCCCTGGCTTTAAATATGCATTCCTTCACCCATGGATGGCTCAAGGGACATACCTGAATAAATGTCCTTTATCACACTCACACACAGAGAAAATGGGAAATATATTATTTCATATGCCTGTTTCAAGGAGAGGTCAGAGTTTAGTATTAAGATAATACAATATAAACATAGATTTCTGTGACCTTTTTTTCCTGCTTAGATCCAGAATTACCATCTTAAAACATTTGGTTTTTAAAAAATGACAAAATATTAGTTGATTTTATTGAGTATACCAAACTTAAGTTAGTAAAACAAAGAAGCAATTTAGTTCATATAGTGCTAGCAGAAAGACCTTGCTATTTTGTATATGGGTGGGAAAATATAGATGCATTTAAATAGGGGACTTTTTTTGAATTAGCGTACAGCTGCTCTTCACTTCTCAACAATCTCATTACCCAGCATTTCACGTTTATGACAATAGTGCATTAACAACATACATTTATAAGTATTGAGAATGAGGTGTAAGAAGAGAGACTAACACAGGTTGTGATGATTTTGTATATGTGTCAATTTGGCTGGACCTTGATTCTCAGTGGTTTGGCAGTTATATGATGATGTAGCCATCCTCCATTTATAACCTATATGGGGAATTTTGATATATGTTGATTGTTCCCACGCTCACTACTGGGGATAATGACTTGTCACTTTTTCATTATTTGACCATTCCTTTGGTACTTTACCACTCCTTTAAAGTTTGATAGCCTCAGAATGCACACGGCAAATCTACTCTGTCCTGGAGGGTCATTATGAATCAGAATCGACTTCATGGCAGTGTGTTTGGTTATCTTTTTGGTTGCCACGTTAATTAAGTAACGTTATGTTGTTAATTTTGTCTTTGAGAAGGTAATAAGGTTGCAGCATGCCAGATAGAAGAACACCTCTCTTGGCAGAGTAAGTTTAATCCTTTTCTTTGGTTGCAGATGATGAAAGCCATGAACAAGTCTAATGAACATGTCCTGGCAGGAGGTGCCTGCTTCAATGAGAAGGCAGACTCCCATCTTGTCTGTGTACAGAACGATGATGGAAACTATCAGACCCAGGCCATCAGTATTCACAATCAGCCCAGAAAGGGTGCGTACTGAAACTGGTTTGCAACTATGTGATGGAGATCATGCTGGATTTGGAGAGTTGAATGTTCTGCTCCCCACCTGTCACATTCACAAACAAGCTAGCTAACCTGTCTGGACATGTGAGCCAGGATCATAGTGACTCCCCAAGTAGCCAGACTTATAGTAGCATATGATACCTGTGTTAGACGGGGTTCTCTAGAGAAACAAAACCAGGACACTTATGATTTTATATATATATATATATATGGATAGGTTTATATAGTAAAAAGGATTGCATGGTGAAAAGATTTATATAGTGAAAAGGAATGAAACAGCAAATTAGCCCACACAGCTATACAGAGCTCAGTTCAACTCACTTTCATGGGACAGTTAAAATTCTGAAGGGCCTTCCAACTCACACCAGCCACTGGCCCAAGGCCAAGGTGATTTGTCGCGGCATTGCAGAGGCCAGTAGGGCAGAGTAGTGATGCAGGTTGCAGTGAAGCATCACGGTGTGGGTGTAGCAATGTGAAGTGGCTGGTGGGTGATGCGGCATCTGGAGTGGTGGCAAGACAAGTGGAGTTGGTCTGCAGGCAGCAGACATGGCACCATGGTACGAAACAGCACAGCACAGTGACGCAGTCCACGGGTTACCTCGGACCACAGGTAGCACAGCACACTGGTAAGGCAGAGCAACTAAATCAGGCAGCAAGCTAGTCTGATCACCAGGGAAAGAGGGGGGGGATGTTCCCAGGACCCTCCTTATGAGGAGGTCACATCCACAAGGAGGCACAATCAGGGTGTGACCTGATTGACAGTCTAGACTCCACCCCCACCCTTCAAGTTGATGTGAAATTATGTAGCTACCACAATACCTCTCCTGTTATTGTGGAAGATGTTTTGAAAATGCTGCCTCAGGATAAGAGACGGGCCCATTTAAAGAGAATTACTTAGGCAGAATTGGAGCTTGTTGAGTGACCATATACAAAGAGTGCTCACTAATAGATTGACAAGAGTCTCTCGGAAGGCCTCTGGGTTGAATATGGCCTCATCTCTTAGGAGGAGATTGTTGGAAATGGACTTGCCACATTCCCCAAGTGTACTGGATTGCGATTTGCATTTTAACATGCCTGCATGAGTCAGATCCACCTTAGAACTGAAACTACTCTCTTTAAGTGACTTTCCCAAAATGCTTTCTCGGGTTATTAAAAAATAAAAAGCAAAGAAAAGTTTACATAAATAAGAGCCTTGCTTAATAAATTAGAATTGAGAAACCTTGATTAAACAAGTTCAAAATGGTTTATTTACTTGTTTAAGGACTCTTCAGGGTCTTTATCAAACTGATCTGTGATACATATCCAAGAGGAGGTCAATGTTAAATGAACTCTCCCCAAATTTGTCTTCCCAAAGTTCTGCTTTTCTCTCCTGGAATCACCTTATGTTAATATGCTTTGGGAAACCTTTCTCTAGGAGGCACTGTATAAATCTCTGTTTTAAATGTTCTTAAAATCAATTGTTGGGTGAAACATAAAGGGGATATTTCAAAATAAGACAGGTGATATGCTTACAGTGCTTTCGTGAAATCATATCTAAAACATTGGTGGAAGTCTATATATCATTCGTACTTGGTAAAACTAGGAGGGTCTCCAGAGGTTGATTAAAGACCTGTAAAAAGTTTGGAATTTGAGTAACAGGAAGACTTCTTTATAAATTGTAATTGTGTAAACTAGGAAAGTATTGATTGGACAACAGAGGCAATGGCTATCTCTGTGTTCCAGATTATCTATTAATAGAGAAATAACATTCAACTTCTCTTTAGCTACAAAAGACTGAAGCTGCAGCAACAATGGTCTGACCCAAGCAGACTTTGGCTCAGTTTGAGAACACACTCTTTAACTTTACAATGCTGCTAGAAATCCTGACAAAGTCTGCATATGAGGAATATTACATAATCATAGGCTAGAGAGAGTAGACAGGTGTTAACAGGTGTTGGATAACATCCAACAAGAGGGAGATGGGCAAAAAATGATGGAAGCAGGGCAAACCATTAGGAAGTTTGATAAATTGTTGAATACAAAAACCACAGTCTGCTCTGTAAACCCACACCTAATTCACAAGAAAAAGCAAACAAACAGAGACATTATGAGACATATAAATGGGCAGTTGGATTCACTCAGTTAGTTTATGCTGTAGGAATTCAGAAAAATAAAGACAGGAGAGAGAAATTTTCATAAAGATAAATAATTATATATCTTTTCTTTTATTAAGAGATAGTCATATAGGAGTTTAAAAATAGATGTATGTTTTAATAACTCTACTTACAAAAGTAAAATAGTTAGCATCCATAACTCTATCTTCAAAGTATGTTTGATCTAAAACAAAACTCTGGAAACCAATTGATTAGATCAGGGGTTGGCAAACTTCCTGTGGAGGGCCAGATCAGATTTTAGGCTTTGGAGGCCCTGTGGTCCTTGTCACCAGCTATTCACATGTGCACTGCAGTAGGTAAGCTGCCATGGAGAACACATGCTTCTGTCCTGCAGTACCCGGCAGGTGGCCGCCAGTTACTAGTCCTGGGTGGCTGGTAACCGGCCTCCGGGTGGACCAGGTGTCTGCCCTTTACCAGTCCTGGGTGTAGTGACTACTAAGATATTCTTCCCTCTAAGATTCTTAGAGTCTGCATTGGATGAGGAGGAGAAAAAAGCAAAATAGGGGAGTGTATCTTAAAGTCTTGTCCCTCAAACATTGGGATGATTAGTTATTTATAAATTGCAGGGTAAAGAGCAGGCCCTTTTTGTATTCTATATGATCATCATCGGAATTCCAACCTCCTGAATGTGGATGGCATTATTAGCACAAGTCTGACCATCCATCCATCTTGTGAATTGGGGGGCCTGGGTGATAACCTGTATTCATGAAACCGTTTCTATTGCTGTTATAGTGACCGGTGCCAGTTTCTTTGTGTTCAGCGGTTCCCTGAAATCCTCTTCAGGATACCTTGCCAAGTCCAGTATTGTGGAAGGTAAAGAATGAGCTGCTTACTGCATGAACACTAGTGCCACCCTAACGATGCAGGTGGAAGGGAAGGGGTGGAAGGGAAGCCTTGCTGTTTATGCTTTTGACATCTGAGTCCTGTTACTTCTTCAGTAACATCTCACTCCTTCAGTAAACCAAAATGGCCAGGAGGAGGGGAGCATAGGTCTTCAAGAAGGGGTTAAATGGGAGAGATGCTGTGAGATAATACCTAAGAGATGGCCTGCCAGAGCAGTAGTGTCACTGGAGTTGGGGTCACGCAGTAACTTCTTATGTCACCCTCACCACCCTTGACCCCATCCCCCGCTCAGGAGCCTCCTTCCATACCAGACCATACAGAATCCTTAGCAATGTTTATTATCAGTTTTAACCACAAAATAATATGTGATAAGTATAGCTGTAAATTGCTTAAATGTAATTACTTCTTACATTATATGAATACTAATAATAAATTGATCTGTAAAATATTTCTATGTTGGATTACAACATTTTCACTTATGTTAATAGTAATGAAGTAGAAAGAAGCCTTTTCCTTTTAAAAATGTTTTCTTTCTGTCCTTCTCAAAAAAAGTTACTGAAAGACTCACAAATACTAATCACTCGGTATTTTCACTAAAACAACAGAATGTGTTACAAAATCAGCAACTCAAAGTCACCATCAACAATGAGATAGCAGCAGTGAAGCCACCTGATTGGCAGAGCCATTGTAATTGGGCAGTAACGACAGCTCTGACAGGAGTGCATGAGAAGATTCCCAAAGCCAATTAGCGTCGAGTTTCAGCCTTGTAGGTATATTGAGACCTGTAGATGGGCTTATGAAAAATGCTTTTGTTGCTGTAACTAGTAAATGGATATTTTAATTGAAAAATCACAAACATCTGCTGAAACACTGCACAGAAATGCTATTGACAGCCCCTCCTGCAGTGTGACCCAGTGAGGTGTATACACACACACACACACACACACACACACACACCCTTAGTGATACCACTGTTTGAAAGCTCCGGAGTAAGGTACATAAGTGGACCTCACCACTCTGTAAATGTGCCCATGAAGGCCAGTCCCTGCCACAGCTCGAGTGCCATGATTATCACCTGGGGGTACAGAGTGGGGTGTGCTTGCGGGATGTTTCCTACAGTTAGCCATGGCTGACAAGAGTTAGCCATGTTTCTTACAGTTAGCCATGGCTCATAACCTGACAAGAGTTCATTGCATTAAATGAAAGGCTAATGAAATGAGCACACTAGTTTTCTCTTTTTTGAGCTATTCTTCATTGTATTGTCATCTGATTACTTTTTTTTTTCTAACTAAATACAGCTATACTGTTTGGCAGGCTTCTATATAAAAGATAAGTTTTACAGTTGTTGGTGTGGCTGTGGGAAGCTTCTAAAAGTGTGTGGAAAAACAGAATTGGGATAATGGAATCTTTCCAAGAAATTTTAAAGACTCCTCAGGGTTTTACAAACCATTAGTATATTATGTAACATTTTCTCAATCATATAGCTACACCATCATACTGTAGTCTAGTTATTTTTCATTCTTCATATTAATATTTTATAATTTAAAAAATCATTTTATTGGGGGCTCTGACAGCTCTTATTACAATCCATATATCCATTGTGTCAAGCACATTTGTACATATGTTGCCATCATCCTTTTTAAACCATTTTCTTTCTACTTGAGCCCTTGGTTTCAGCACTTACTCTTGTAACAACATACCAAATTACCACAAAACGTAATGATCACCAACTCTGTGCCGAGGACAGAGCCATGCCGGGGGGCTGTCCCTGCTCCATGATGTCTGGGACCTCAGCTGGGAAGCCTTGGAAGCTGAGGGTTACTTGATAGCTGGGAACTAGGATCATTTGAATGCTTGCCTGGGATAATGACTGGAGCCCTCACACACAGCAAGACACAGCCACTTATAACCAACCAGTAGCAGACTTCTTACATGGAGGCTCAGGGCTACGTGCACATATGTTCCAGCAACAGAGCTGAAGTGGCATTCCCATTGCCTTTTATGACGCAGCCTGAAAAGCCTCAGTGTCCCTTCCACTGTACTCCGGTGCTTGAAGTCGTCACAAGCCTGTTACATTCAAGAGGCACAGAGTTAGATTCCACTCCTTTATGGGGCACAGAGGTTGCTGAGAAAAGCAAGTGAAATTGGAGGTGCTGTGGTTATTTTTGGAAAACACACCTGACTACACATGATGGGGTAGGATTTTAGCCTAGAATAGTCCAAGGCCCTGTTGAAAAGCATCCTTTTCTGAGGCCTGGTGTTTGGTGTGTCAATTGAAATGTGTAGATAAACCTATGATTTATAGATATTAGTTGGGGTCTTCTTTATTGGTAAATTTATTAAGGCAATGAGTGAAGAGCAAAATAGTTTCTTTTTTATTTTATTATCATTTTATTGGGGGCTCTTACAGCTCTGAATACAATCCAAACAAAATAGTTTCCTATAACTGAATTTCACAACTCTGACTATAAAGCAGAAAAAGGCTAATAAGGACTTTGTAATAAGCACAATCGTGAATAAGCAAATGTGTTGAAGAAAGTTGATGGTGCCCGGCTATCAAAAGATATAGCGTCTGGGGTCTTAAA